ATGTAATCTTTTTCTAACTTTGTAATAAGGCTAATGGAAATGAAGCTTCACAAATATATCTCGGATCTGTCAATAATCCACATATTACATCCAGTCTAACAATAGAGCAGCCTAATACATCCACATCATTCTCTGGTAACCTTAAACCGGAAGTCAATCAGTTATCTGCATCCATTCAGCAAGCACAATTACAACAACTAATTGCGGCAGCCGCATTACAATCAGCTGTTCAAGCTAATAACAATAATAATATTCACTCCTCAGCAAATACAATTCAGTCAGTCAATCACCAACAGTTACTGAACCAATTGATTGCTCAACAATCTCAGGTAAGTTTAAATATGCTTGGTAGTTCATAAAAGCTGTATTGTTGAAACCGTAGTCTTAGCTTTACCTAGTTCGACACTAATAGGCAGTGAATTCTAATCACATTATACTATGTGGTTTTCCCGCTAGACTTTTTTCATCAATCACTTATACCTCAATCGATTTTCTGAACATAATCATTTGCAATATAGTATACATTATTACAGTGATGTTGAGGAAAAAATCTTGGCTTGATATGAATATGATATTTCTACATATTTATCATTCAGTGAGTATAATCTGTCTTTCCTGACCCTATTTTCGTATTCCTCTGCTGTATAAACGATAATTAGTATACATTGTTTGTATCTAGGTTTTATTATTTTATTTTTAATGATTAAATTACATTTTAGCTATCTGGATTCAATATTGCTCCAAATATAGTAACAGCTTCTCTGTTAGCTGCACAACACCAGCAAAAGCAGTTAATAGCTCAATGGCAGAAACGTGCTCTTGCTTTGGCAACAGCAAGTCCTGCTGGTGATCAGTTAAAGAGCGCTCAAGAAAGACGACTTCCTGTCATCACTCCATCCGCTGCTACTCCTGCTAATTTGACTGTCGGTACTCCTAGTAGCTTAGCTTCTATCATTAACGCTGCCAATTCATTACCAGCTGCATTACAGTTAGGCCTCTTAAGATCTGGTCTCAATACTTCTATTCTTTCCAGTGGTGCAGTAAATCCATCGACCCAAAATCAAATAGCTTCTATGGCTGCAATAATTGCTGCAGCACAACAGCACCAGCAGCAACAACAGTGTCAACAAGCTACAGCTCTTTCGAATTCTCACCAAACTCTTGGTGCGAGTTCCACACAATTTCCTGTCTCTTCTTCAAATTCAGAGGTACTTTTGTTGTGTTGTATTTTAAATTTTCCAAAGGGTGTATGATCAAAAAATGTAATTTTATTCTATTTTTATGTTTGCTTCCTGATATTAAATTACTATAGTACTAATTTATACGTCCCAAATCTCGTCAAGATTTAAATTCATTAGTTAGTGTAGGTATGCTTTTTGGATCACATCAATATTCAGACTCTTGATAATTGCTGCAGTATAATTGTATATGGGAATACAAATAGTTGAGTTCCTGAAATCGCAAACAACGTATCCAGTAATGATTCTCTTCAATTATTCTAAACATACTCGCTTAAATAAGTGAAGTATTCAGCACAGGTTTTATAACTAGTCAGAAATGTATGATCAGTTTTACTGTAATCATATACCTTCTAAACATGAAAATTAGTCAGCTTGTTCAAAATAAATTTAATTGAAAAAATATACTATTGATCCTAGACCACCACGTATTCCAATCTCTAATACAATAAATATAGTTTTTTTATATCCCAATGGGTAGAAAAATCATATTTTTGACGTTTCGTGACTTAATGTAAACCACTATGAAGTCTAACTTTGGCGTTAATACCCATAAATCCATAATCTGTTAAGAGTAGGGGTCACGTAGACAATAAGTCAGTAGAACATTTAGCACCATTCACTCCATCGGGGCGTTATTCTTTTGATGCATTGTTGAGTACGATAGTTGACAGTTTCGGTACACTGAAACTCGAGAATTTGAGGATGGTTGTGGTGTATTTTGATCATTAACTTCCACATAGACCTTTAACTGTTTAGTTATCACGTCGCTTTAGGTTCACCAAATTTAATATCTTGATGAGGCATCTATTATTATTCAAATTCTTGTATGCCCTTAGTTCTTCAACTCAACATAAAACTTAGTACTCCACGATTGTGATATACTAGGTACTTAATTTTAGAATTTCATTACTTATATTCAAATTAGATCTTTTTTCATTAAGTTTAGGGGTTATTATGAATTTTCGTTATTTGAATATGTTTGTGCATTTCTTCTATGCTGTACATTTCTGTGTATTCATTTTGTTTATTTTACATACCAATCACCCATTTTTGTTGCATGACTTCGAACAGATGGTTCGTTTTTCGAAACTGCCTTTATGACCTAACTAAGCTATTACATTCGGTTTATAATTCTAACTTCGAAATTCAAAAAGTAATCACATACAATCCCAATGCAAAACGCCATCATCATGTTATGAATTATTATATATTTGTTTTATGCACATTAATTGTGAGATAATCTTGTCAAATGATCTCACCGTGCAATAGAACAATTCGCTTATTCCAACAGAATTAATTATCAATCTGATATTTTTAACAACATTAATCCATGTAAAAGTAGCTTCTGTTGTAAACTGATTGAAGCAACAAAAGAACAATTATCGAGTACTGATGACTAACTTCTAACGATTATTCTAGAAAGTAGTTCATTTTTATTATTCCTATAACTTTTCTTCTCGATAATTTATTATTTTATAGTTTTCCAGTACTGCTGTACAGTCAAATTTATTACCGCAGCAATTGCAACAGCGTTTATTATCATTGCAAGCGTCAATTTTACATCAGAGACAACAACAACAATTAGCTTCAATGAATAATGCAGCACTATTACAAGCTGTGATTGCCTCTTCCCAACAACAACAACAAATTGTTCAAAGTCAATTTCAGCAACAACAACAACAACAAGCAGCTCTTGCTGCTATTTTAGCTGCACAAAGAAAACAACAACAAGCAACTCAAGATCGTTTAAATAAACAAATGTGATGAATTACGAATATAATCTTTGATTTATTGACTTGTAAAGATAAACTTGTATAATTTTTAATGAAAATTGTATATACCAATCAATTAGTCAGTATAGAACAATGTGCTGGTTTTTTTCTCCTTCTGTATGATATTTTATATATAGTTTTAATTTGTATGATTACAGTTTGATATTAATTACTTTCTGCCCCGTAGTTTTGGTACATTTCTAAATTACTTGACTACAAGAAGTTTCTTATCTATATTTTATAAATGAGGGATATCTTATACTAAAACGGGTGGAATTAATGTCATATAACACGGTTAGCCTAACTACTTTGGTTTGTTATCTTACATGTCCACAGGAAATCTCATTTTAGACTAGTGTTCGGAGTTGAGAGCTAAAGAGTAGAATTCTCATTCATTAACAAACTTCGGTACTTTTAAAAGGTTAACAATATAACTGTGGCTGGAAATGTCACATTCTGTTAGGCTTGTCGATCAAGATCCAAAGGTCTTGACAGTCAAGAGATTTTCTCTAACAAGTAGAGCGGTGTTGCAGAAACAGGAAGCTGAATATTGAAAAGGATCCATCTTTACCGTTAAGTGACATTCCATTTTCTATTATGTGGGAATAACGAGCGGCTGTAACCGAAAAAAATGCAACATTGAGTACTACTTTACTATCGTCAAGAGAACGATCTAATAAATAAACTGATCAAAGATTGGTATAACGTTTACCTTTGATATAGTATGGTGATTTTCTTGTTTATAATATTAAACGTTGAGAATAGGTATAATATTAACAATTAGAAGAGTCCACTTTAGTCATGTTAGGAGGACAACTGATTTCTAACGAAACGTATCACATAGTCTCTTTAGAGGTCTTAGCACTCAATGATCAGACAGGTGAACTGTGGATCAGTCGATGCGACAAGACCGTTCAGTTAGCGATTGCAACAGAAAAGACTACCTGGAGCGTGCGGAATTTACGTTTGTATGAATAATTAGGTGGTTTAAAAATGATTACGGTCAGCGAACCTGGTGGACGTTCCGGGGGAGGGGGTAGTGTTCGCCCTGATCCATAAAAATCATTCGCACAATGACAGTTTTATTAAACGCCTAGGACAATCGATTTTTTTTGAAACCAATCATGAAATTGTACTTCTTGACAAACACAACCAGCTGTCGAAGCGATTCGTCTCTGTCTTGTTACTACTGCGGTTCTGTCTGTATACGCTTGCTGTTCCATTTTCCCAAGTGATTATTGTTTAATGTTTTATACTATTAGTATTAGTCTTTTGTAAACAGTTTATAGGCTATATATATATTGATATTGGCTATATCAATTCGTTATATTACGAATGACCACTACTAACTTGTTGAGATGTACTTGTCATTTAGTCAGTCTTCATGAGGAAGTTTGTATGAAGCGTTAGATAATTGATTTATTTTCTTATCAAGATACTGATGAGATATAAAGGAGATAAAATGGACAAATAACTTTGGAATATCTTGAAGTTGTTGTGAGCAAATATACGTGAAATAACAGCACATTTTTTGGCAGATTTTCCTTTTTGATTATCCTTTGAACAAACGGTAGATAATCACGTTGGGAATAATGCACACAGTGTATGATGAATGGGAAGAAGTCGTAGCAACTGAATAAGTAGTAAACATTAGGGTTTGAGGATAAATACTCAGGCAACCATCTTGTGGAGAGAAGCACTTTCTCACCTGTAAAATTCGTATCCACATACCTTTTTTTGCCCCATAATATCGTTTCCTTTTTCCCAAATATAGCGCCAGTTTATCGAGAAATATGTGTATTAAAACACAATTGTATGGACGAAGAATATTCTTTTCAATAATTTCTCATCAGGTTCTACAATTATAAATCCATAAAATTGGCCAGATTTAAGGCAAAATACATCATTTGGAAATTGTAATATGTGAATCAGGAATTGTTTGTTATATAAATAAAATCGTTAATGTTGGGATGACTAATATGAAGTGTTAACTTGAATCAGTTTATAAGCGGAATAAAAATGTGGGTAAAATAGCCTTTCTAGATGTTCTGCTTACAAGGAGAAAAGATGGATCGCTAAAAAGAAACATAAACAGGAAAATGACTTGGACGGGTCAATATACTAACTTTTTCAGTTTCGTTTCTCTACAACAAAAGTGGAACCTTATCAAGACACTACATCATAGAATCAAGACTATATGCACTATGGATATGATTGAAGATGAAACAAAGACATTGTTTACAACCCTGAAAGAAAATGGATTTCCAGAGAAATTTATAAATAAAAACTTAGCCAATAAAAGACAGCGTAGAGAATGCCCAACGGTAAATAAAAAGCCTCTATATATACGCTTACAATTCAGAGGCGACGCGCCGAGTGAAATGTTAAGACTTAAGTTAAGTAGATCAATTCAAAGGACTTTTAACGCAGCTAAACTACAACTAGTATTCTCCACACGACCAATAATCACTCCGAGGTTGAAAGATAAATTACCTAGACTAGCCACCTCCTTCTGTATCTATCAATTCAACTGCTCCTGTGGAGCAAGTTATATTGGCAGATGTTCTAGGAATTTGTACATTCGGGCTCGTGAGCACCTACCCGTGTGGTTAAGCAAAGGTGTCGTCAAAACTGTTAACAGCTCCATCTTAGACCATTTAGTCCAAACAGGACATACAGCCAACATGGAGCAATCTTTTGCAATAGTCTATCGTGTCAACAGCATTCTACCTAATTCCGTCAGACTGCGAATCCTACAGATGGCTGAAGCAATTGCTATTCGGATCAAAAAGCCGGAGCTTTGTATCCAAAAGAAATATGTTCAGCCACTCCTTTTACCCTGGCCAACTAGCTAATAATCAATCTTATGATGTGGTGACGTAATCTGACTAATGTTCATTTCATGTCCCAAACTTATTATTATTTTGAAAACAGCAAGAACAAACATTCTAGCAGAATAGCATGAATTCATTTTTATTCCGTTGGTTCTCGTCAGCTGCTTATTATTATTATTATTATTACTGTTATTATTACTATCATTGTCTTTACATTTGATAACCTTTTTTGAGGAATTTATTCAATATCCATTCCTGAATCTACTATATTTGACTCAATTATTTTACATATTACGTAATTTCCGATTTGTAATCACAATATTCTCTCTCTCTCACTTACACCATGTTGATCATATTTATTCTGATCATTTATCGCACAATTTCATTTCACTTATAAACTGATTCAAGTTAACACTTCATATTAGTCAGCCCAACATTAACGATTTTGTTTTATATAACAAACAATTCCTGATTCACATATTACAATTTCCAAATGATGTATTTTGCCTTAAATCTGGCCAATTTTATGGATTTATAATTGTAGAACCTGATGAGAAATTATTGAAAAGAATATTCTTCGTTCATACAATTGTGTTTTAAATATGTGTATATTTCTGGAAAAGTCACATTCCATTATCTGATAAAGAAAATTTGCTGCCATGCTGTCGCCACTAGAAAGCCAAACTGGTGAAATTTAAGTATAGGAAAACACCAGTTCAGTAGCAGCACACTTTCAAGGTCGTACCGTCTTAGTAAATTAAAAATCTTGCTTATCGAATGCTTGTTTATTTTGAGAACGATGTATTAATAACGGATTTACGTGATAAATGGGTTGCTGCGTAGATTTGCCTTTTTGCCAATAAGCTCAGTAAACATATTGAAGGATTGTAATGATATGATAAGAACTGATTTGTTTTATATTCGTTCAAATTTGAATGAGATAAATGCGCTACTGACGAAAGTGATGATAAAGCATTGGAGTGGCTTTAGTACATCATGTGCGACAAATAAGTTGTTATCCATTAGTTTAAGAGCAATAGTTGTTTTAACAGATGTTCGTCATTCAGTGGAGGGTTAGCGATGGCAATCTTCGCCCCTTATCACGTTCATAAGTTAAACTACTACTAAATTGAATGAATAAGTTTCTTAACTGCATCTACTTCAATTTCTAGACAAAAAACTAAATGAACTTTGATAAGTTTATGAATCATGTAGAAAATGGATATGTATATGAGTTTCACTTGTAATCTGTTAATATTCCGTCAAAAACTATTCATTTTTATCATCTGCTTGGTTAAAAAGAATAGATTTCAGTAGTTATTAGTCCATGTACATTAGTTTTATCATAAAATTGATACCATTCAAGAAATGGATTATTATTCATTGAACTCAATCTATGTGGCAGTGATTTTACAAGAAAGTCTCAATATCAATTAGATGCCGAGGTTGTGTTACGTAAATCAGATAAGTAGTTATGTTCTTTTATGTAATGATTACATGGCAAATTCCTGATTGCAGGACAATTGCTTAGTCAACTATTCTATTAGTTGGTTGAAATTACGGTCGATCATGCACAAAAGAATCCGAAACAGAAATTGGATATTGGTTTGTTTCTATGAGAGAAATTTATTTAACAATTAATCAGTCAGGAACAAAAGAATATAGTGGACAATCAGTGAGTTCCAACAATAACTGTCAATGGATAATCAAACTCATCAGAGAAAAAGAATGGCTGACGGTAGAGCTATTCGACTGATCATATGATAGTAAAATATGGCATTTAAAGATACTTAATACGGAATATCTACCTGTAAATCAAGTTTCTCGTCATTTTATTTACACAAATATCTCCAAATGTGATCAGCATGGAATTCGAGATCACTTTGAAATTTATTAGTTTATTATTTGTGTACAAATCACATGAGGAAAAACGATTTGTATATTTATTGATTATTATAATTAATATTTTTTCGAAATTGCTAATTAAAGTTTAATATAAAACGAACGAGATATATGATATTCAAGTAAATCTTACGACTTATTTATTTTGTTTGGTAACTTAATATTCAGTATTTTATACATGAATCTATATTATCAACTTTTTCGTAATCTTGAATTCCACTAATCTTTTATTTAGATGGCAGTTGGAGGTAGTCAACAGGACACCCTGGACCCGGGTTTCGTGCTACTTGACACTCGTCAGCAAGGTGTACCTGTAATCTTGAGGGAACTGGTGCTCCCTGACGGATTCGATCTCGTGTCACCCAGCTTCACAGTCAGAGACGTTACCACTGAGCTATCCGAGCCGTGACTAACCTCCTGTAGGTGGCCACATTGCAACATGATCGATAGCATTCGATCTGCACTAATAAGGACTAGACAAGCATGACATTGATCACCACCCAGTGACCAATCAATTGTGATTACATCTCAGTCCTACAGGAGGTTAGTCACGGCTCGGATAGCTCAGTGGTAACGTCTCTGACTGTGAAGCTGGGTGACACGAGATCGAATCCGTCAGGGAGCACCAGTTCCCTCAAGATTACAGGTACACCTTGCTGACGAGTGTCAAGTAGCACGAAACCCGGGTCCAGGGTGTCCTGTTGACTACCTCCAACTGCCATCTAAAATAAAAGATTAGTGGAATTCAAGATTACGAAAAAGTTGATAATATAGATTCATGTATAAAATACTGAATATTAAGTTACCAAACAAAATAAATAAGTCGTAAGATTTACTTGAATATTCATATATCTCGTTCGTTTTATATTAAACTTTAATTAGCAATTTCGAAAAAATATTAATTATAATAATCAATAAATATACAAATCGTTTTTCCTCATGTGATTTGTACACAAATAATAAACTAATAAATTTCAAAGTGATCTCGAATTCCATGCTGATCACACAGTTTGGAGGACAAGGGTGCTCCACTTTTCATGAGTCTGGAAACCTATGGCACAAATATGATATCAGTTTGTTAATCGTGCGGCAAATATACGGCACAGAAATCTATTCTGTACTAATCTAATTAGAAAAATGGCACATTGGGATTAAAGGACATTCATAAGCCACTGGTATTTGAAGTTAAATTTCACTGTTCGTATATGGTGCACCAACCGAGTATAGTTAGGCGTAAGGTACTGGATTAAAAGGTCCAGCCAATCAGTGGAGTTTTGTACTTTCGAATGAGTTGGTTAGGACGTGCTTCATGCATGTCTAGCCACTGCCTATGCTGATTTGAAATGCTAGTTATTGGATTAAAATAAAGAGACGGTAAATCAAAACATGACGAAAAACTTATGAACTCGTCGACCGTCAGTCTAGAACCCCCTAATAGTCGTACAGTATGTTTATTAGTGCTTTGTGACAACTCGGTCACAGTTGCTTTTATTCCATATTCTTTAACATTTTATTCCTCGATTTTATTTATTTATTCTAAACTGGTTGATGACGTTCTTTCGAAATAATCAAACGATAATTTAAAGGGGTTTTGTCACTATGCTAGTTATGTAGAGTAATTATTGAGAAACTAGTCTTCTGTTTAAGTTATGCTATGCTTGGTGATAAACCCTGCAGTTGGAAATAAAAGGACTTCGTGCCAGCTACATAGTTTTTAAGTTTATTTTCCCACATTCTCTGCGAAGTTTACTTGTTGAAGTGATGAAATGTTATGTTTTAAATTTCCTCTTCATTCCTCCTTATCACTAAAATAAAATGTCAAAAAAGGTTTTTTTTTAATATCGTATAATTTCGACAGCATGAAGGGAGTTCAAGAAATAAATATTCTAAATGATCATTCCTCTATGTACGATTGCACCTAGCATGCCGATTGGAAATTTTTACTATCTGTCGGCGCTTTAATTGGGTTGGTTGACTCAGAGGGTTCATCTGCTAGGGTTGGGAAATCCTGATTCAAAACTACCGGTGCACATGGGCTCCAGGGGAGCGAACGATTTATTAGTCTGTTTTTGGTTACTGGTTACCATGGAATAGTATCTCTTAACTTTATTCTAATACCCTGTTTATCAGGCCTCTAGGTCAAAGCATCGAAGAGAAACCTCCTAAGAAAACCATCTTCCTAAGTTTTTACACCCGAAGAGTGTCCCTGACTTTTCTCAAATATGGTAACCAAAATTATGAAGAAATTAATATGCTTGCTCCTCTTCCTCTATTACTGAAAGTATAATTAATATTCAAATAATTCAGATCTTTCGTTCTACTTTGTTTCATTCCGTTTTCTTCCCACTGTTTTATTTTATTTTCAACTCTCTCAGTAGCACGTCCACTTCAAACTGGCTTTCCCATCTAAGTGATCTCAAGTCGATGACTGGCTGAAGTTTCAAATGTTTCCATCAGATATGAAATCTGAACCAGCTTTCCTAAAATCACACGGTGCATTTTCAGTAGCCGCCATCAACGTTTATGCAGTGACCCGGAACTTTCAACAGATAGGTTTAGCTACGTTCGTGGAAAGTAATGACATTGACGTTAGCTATATATACGAGACCCTTACTTAAAACTCTAATGAAGTACCACAAATTTGTTCGTTATCTTTCGATTTGAAAACTTGTTTCATGTCCATTCATCCGGTGAATATGTGGCATCTTCACCCAATTCGGCTGGCATATGTGGCATCAATCTATAGGACTCTCATTAACAGTCATTTATTCGCCATCAGATTAGGAAGCCCCATTAATGTGAGAAATTGGATTGGGGAACGATGTCTTTTCAAAACCTTCCCATATGCCCTGAAAGATTATAGTCTGAGTGGAATCGAGGATGAGTTCTACTAACAACCAAATTATCTTGTTAAGAAATCTCATTCAACAAACCTTGTAGTGTTGGCCGAATGTGTGGGTTTGTGTACAGAGTTTTTGGGGTGACCGATTGGGATTAGTCGGTCAAACGTCCGATAGCGGTGACCGTCTTGTGGAAGCATGTGCATATCACAACTTGTTCCTGTTTAGCACCAAATTCCTGCAGTTTTCGCAAATATGCTACCTAGCGCCTTCTCTCTGCAACTGAACCTACACCAAGACTGGTCTCTTTGGAACCAGATACCCCTGGATTAGTTGTGTACAAAAATAATGCTCCTTTTAGGGTACCTATCTAGACCTTGATCATCTTAGGTT